TGTGAAAAGATAACGATGATCATCCCCCGATCTTATCAGATGGCACATCAGCAGAGGATATCTCCCACAGAGATAAGGATCACCACCCCTCCCACATTTTAACAGATGGTGATAGAATACACATTTTTGCATTGTACCCCAGGACACCTGGATACTCAGCATCTGCTCTGTTATCAGATTTGTGCTACCTTCCCTTTCCCCCTGTTTTCCCGTCTCTTGTCTGTCTTACATTTATTAGAAGGCCATGTGTTTGCTCTGTAACTTGACCTCCTTTTTTGATGGAAAAGGCTTCTGCAGTGCATACAGTGTTTTGACATTCTGTCTCTCTTTGCTTTGAGAGAAAATTCTGATAAGAAACTGTGCAAAGGTAGACATTTTTAGCTTGTCCTTGAGCCTAAGGTTCACTTCTGGCTGGCTCATGCAAATTTACAACCCCTGGGATCATTTTAAGGCTTTTATGTTAAAACAGACCAGAAAAAAAAAAAAAGGCATTATTGTCATGCTTGTGTTTTGCATATTTTCCAGACAAAGCCATAAATCCAGCTTGGTATGCAGAAGAAGGGCTGTTGGCACAAAACTGTGCCAGGTCTCCCCCAGAAAGGCTCATTAGCCTCGGCTTGCTCTTAAAGAAATATGGGCCAAGTCTCAGGTTCTCCCGTGGGAGGCTTGCATATCATTCTGACTTCGGATACCTGATAATATCCAAGGCATTATGCTGAGATGTCTGCAAGCACTCATTACACATATTTGCCTTCCTCTGTTGTGAGGACAGGCATAAGTAGGTTTGCTTTACCCCTGTCAGTGATGCAGAGTGGAAAAAGTGATACTTCCCTGTTTCCACCCGAATAAACTAACACGTTATGAAACACAAATAGATACAAGAATGTACTCTTGTGTTTAGGAAGCCTGAATAACTACCTTGATACCAAAAACAGCATGGAAGGAGACTGCCAAATATTGGGAAGTTTTCTTAAAAAATAGATTTAAAACCCTTTTATTTAGTTTCTTGTAGCTTATTTCTCTAAGGCCTTTGTCCAGTTATTGAGATGTGTATTTTATGTTGTACTTATATATTTGGCATAAAATATTTCTTGCTAAATTGTTCCCTCCTGATACACTGCCAGATGGTAAAAATATTTTCCTTGGGCTTCTTCCCTTTTTTTGTCAAATGCAAAGTATTTTGGAAAAAAACCTCTTAATGTCAGTCTTGCCCACATTAAGTAGAAAGAGGGCATTGGATGATCAGAGGCTGATGTTAATGTTCTGAGTTGTTCATGCTGCCCACAAGAGGGGGGACTTAAGAGATTCTGCTTCAGTTTACTCGGTTTTTCCAGACATGCACTGTGAGCAGCAAGGCTTCCAAACTCCTTTACTGCAGATATATATTGCACTGTGTATTTTCTGGGCAATTAAAAGATTTATTAAGCATATGGCTGACCTGGATTGTCTCCGCTGGCTCAATTGACCTTTATTCTCGGGACAGTGGTAAGATTAGGAGATACTATAAATAGCTGCAGCACTATGGGAGCAGTATCACAAAAATGCGCTTTACACAAACAGCCTGTCATTTTACTTTGTGGGGGATGTGTGTATTAAAAAGGGAGATATCTCTCTGAGATGATTTTTGTCCTCTGAATCACTGCAGCTGAATCTGTAAGATTATTTTGGCCACTACTATCAGATTCTAATACATACAATGCAATAATATTGGGAAGCTGTGGGAAAGAGACTGTTCAGGTGCAGCTGAACTTTGCATTGGCAGCGTAGTGTACTTCCACCTGAGGGCTCACTGGTGGAGGCAGCTTTGTCGAGGCTGGGTGTCTGCAGGGAGACAGGCAGGGGGTATCTCCTCCGCACTCTGGGGCCAGCTTCAGGAGTGTTTCTGGCCACCACCTATGACTTCTGAGGAAGATCACATTTCTGCCTCAAGAGATGCAAAAATTACTTTGGACCAGAAAGATAGAACTGAAATATAAGTAGAAAGAAGCTGTAATTCCTGGAGGGATTCTGATATGATCAAAGAAAGTAGCAGTTTATGACTTCCCTTCCTGGTGGCATCCTCATGTCCTGTTTTATGTAGTTGGATGCCGAATGGATGACTTTTTCCAGCCTATAAACGAAGTAAAAGCAAGTTTGCTTCTTTGTAAAATCTTGTATTTTGTTTCTCCTATAAGTGGTATTTGGAATTTTACATAAATTGATTCAACAGATCTAGTTATGTGTAAGGAATAGGTGTAATGCACAAGGACTCCACTGACACTGGCAAACATAACCACAGATGGTCCACTGGATTTGGTGTTTCAGCTTAGTGCCAGATGAGTAACTGATCTCCATTAAACAACAATTTCCAGTGATCAGGTTGCTTTACTCTTTTCCTAAACTGCTTTAGCAGGAGATGGCATTCAAGCCTCATTTCACTGAAGATGAAAAGAAACGCGTTGCTGCCTCTTCTGATTTCTGGAGAAGGCTGGGGTGGATATTGGGTAATTATGTTGGAGAGATATATTTGTTATATATACACTCCATGCATTTGTGTTTTTCTTTTTCTTTTCAATTTGCAGGAAAGCAATCTCCAGGTCAGGCCTCCAGCACTTGGCTCCTGTGCATTCCCTCAACATTCCAGTCACCAATGGACCTGTGAAGGAACCAAGAGCGGCCTTAGAGTGGACTGTAGGTGTTTTGTTTTTTGGCAGCTAATTTGAGCAGTATCTCTAGCTGGTGCTCTCCCCATCCTTAAATCAACATAAGATGTCGTGTTGCTGTCAGAATTACTGCTAGTCATTAGGAGCATGCTTCTATTATGAACTGAAGCACAAGGCAGAAACTTGAAAACCTATGGGAGCTTGAGCAAAAAATGACAGATTTTCCAGCTTGGCAGTGACGTGGTTGCCTGTTCCACTCTGCTCTGGCTTACCCTGGATAGCCTCACAGGCAGACCAGTGCCAAGAGTGGCCCACTTCCAGGATCCTGAGGAACCCGGAATGTGGGTAGGGCTCTGAACCCTTGTGGCTGTGTACACGTCTGGAGAGGAGCGAAGGATCGAGAGAGAGTCCTTATGTGATTCCAAAGGGGTTTATTAGGAGAGTGGGAGAGAGGCAACTGGAATCGAGGAAGGGACACCACAAAAGGCAAGGATCAGAGGGTGGCAGCAGCTTAAATAGGGGACCTCCCCCATGGGAGGGTACAATGCCATAACCAATCAGGGTAACTTAGGGGGGTAACTCAAGGCAGGATTACATAAATACTGAACCAATAGGGGGTAACATAGGCGGGGTACAGCACAGAGTAACAAATCGTTTACCAAGGAAGGGATCTTAAGCACAGAACTTGCTGGAACAATGGGAGGGGCCAGAGGGGATTGGCAATCGTGTGGGAGTGGACTGGGGAGATAGACAAGGAATTCTCTGGAAATAGGGAAGGGACAAAGGGTAAAGGCGGGAACTTGGGTAACTGGGATTACCATGAACAGGGGGGTGCAATGTGGGATTGAACCATCACAACATAGGGGGATAAAGATAAAACAAGATAAAACAATGAGTAGCAACATGGCAGTTGTCTGGGTATGCTTTCCCACCTACTTCTTGACAAATTCTGCCATCAAAGGTTGATCTCATTTTAGCACAGCAAGGTTTTATGCCTCTGTTTGACGGGCCAAAACTTAAGCTGAAGACACACCTTGAGTTGTCTGCATCTGTATAGTAGGTAATTGAAATCTTTGGTCACAGTTCTTTGTAGGTATGATTAGATTTGTTCTGGGCCCAAGCTGGTATGTTGACATGAAGAGCATCTTTCCACCCCTTTCATCTTGCTCTTTTATATTCCTGGGCTGAACCACTCTAGGGCTGGCCAAAAGTTGAAGCAGATTGTTAAAGGCATTGTCCAAATGTCTTTTAAAACACTGGCAACCACCGCTCTAGGAAGACTGTTCAGAGTTTGGCCACCCTCTCTGTGTTTACTAATGACAAGTCTGTACCTCCCCTGAAACCATCCCCATACACCTTCCATGTGGTTATGCACTGGTAGGAGCTAAAAAATGAGCTATAAGCCAGCAGGTCACACAAATGTCTCAAAGCAAAGCATACAGTAGATTTTACACTTGACTATTGGTAAAGATGTTGATGCATTGCAGTATCAAGGCACCAGCCACCCAAGCAGCTTTTAGTTGAAGATAACTTCTGTTTTGATGAATATGGCTTATGTCTATCTTTGTTCTCTATACCAAAACAGAATTGGATTTTAGATTGCCTGCTCTTCTTGAACTCCAGGTGTTGCACTCAGAGTTTAAGGGGATGAAATTTTGCAGGCTGTATTGCAGGAAGCTGGATTAGATTCACTATGAGGATCTGCAGTTCGAAAGCTTGCATAGAATCCTCTTGGAAGTGCTTTGGAGAACACCTTGTTCTTTCATTCCTGTAAACCCAGGTGCTGATTCAGCAAGATAATAAAAATGCCTGTTTTGAGTCATCACTGCTGTTCAGTAGGAATCTGAAGGATCCTTCAGATCCTTCAGATCACATAAATGAAGGGTTAAGCTAGCTAAATTAAACACCTTTGGAAACTGTACTTAGAAAAAACAGCAGCAACAATCCCTGCAAAAAAAACCCTGAACCCCAAGTCATCAACCACAGCTTGTCCTTCCTCAGCCAAATGTCTTCTACTCCTTTACCAGGATGATCCGTGATCCCATGATGATTACTCCTTTTACCTCATGTGATCCCTGTACATAAATGCAGCAGGAGTTGCTGTAAGTTGGTAAATATTGATTAAATATTTTGGGTTTTAATTGTGTGTGGTGTTTTCGTAGTTTACTTCCATGCTTATGGTTTAGATTTTTGATAAGTTCAATTTCCTAGCTGTTTACAGCCTGGTGTTGCTGCTTTACTTCACACTTTTATTGGAGAAGGGGGGAAACTCTGTGTCATGTGGGAAGAGGGGCAGGATAATGAGTGTAAGACATCTGTGGCTGGTAGGAGACTGAACTGACCAGCTATAGTAACTGGTAAAAAAGAGAAAGGTATTTCTCAAATCTGAGATATGATGGAAGTATGGTTTGGAGATGTGAGGAGGTTGAAGTGGACCAAAGGGTTTTTAATATGTAGTGAATTTCAACAGAGAAAAAACTTAATTTAAACTTTAAAAAAAAAATAAAATAAAAAATTCTAAAATAAGTCCAGAGGTGTATTTGGTAGAGTGAAAAGATATTTCAATTAATGTGGGGGAGCCAGACAAGAAGTTTTTGTATTTAATCACTGGAAGGCAGCATTGATCAATGTAGGTTGCATCCTGGTATACATCATCCTTCTCTTCAGTATTTCTGAGGGTGATTCTCCAAGGACACATGATGAGAGATCTTTCCAAAGTCTAAGTGATATGAACATGAATTGTCTCGACTTAGAAGGAAGGAAATATTTTCTACCACAGTCTTCACAGTAAAAACTGGAAAAAAATCCCTGGCCATTGCCTCCATTTTTGAGAACTCCTTGCAGGTGATTTGCCAATATCAGATGGTCCTGTAAACAGGGCACTGAGTCAGAGAGTTGGATTCCATTCTCTGCTCTGTCAGTTACCTTGTGAGCGTGCTCAGATGAGTTGTTTTGCCTCTCAGTACATCAGCCTCTCTAGCTGTAAAACAGAGGTAATGATTCTCATGTCCCCTAAGACTTTTTACACAAAACCCTCTCATTATTCTTTATTCTTGTTGTTGCTACTGTCTCTCTTCCCTAAGGTTTCTTTTTCCTAATATGCTTACAAATGTCCAGTTTCATTATATTTGTCACACCTAATTCAAGATAACTTGTAACTTTGCTGCACAATTTAAGGCTCTCTTTTCACACCAGGGCCTTATAGAATACAGTGTCTGGAGTAGGTGTTATAATAACCAGAGGGGAATGCTGGAGATGCCTTACCAAAAAGGAATTGACTTAAATGGCTGCCCCTGTGATATGTTTATGCATATCCCTTTCTCCCACATGCTTTCATTTTAGACATCATTCACAAGTGTTAAGTAATTAAGTAATTCTAGCCCACATTCTCAAGTGACTACAGATTGAGCCAACCAATACACTGCCTGTGTGCTTTTGAAGATCCAGGTCTTTGTATGTCTTTCTATTGCCATTTTCTACCAGGGATTATAACCGTAAGTTTGTACACAAAGTCCTCCTGTAATTTTCTTTTAACTACTGCCTTCTAGCTCTTGCTTTCTATGATGCCTACAAAACTCTTGACAGGCACTAGAATAGCAGAGTGAACATCCCCAAATCTTATTTTTATCCCCATAGTGTGTTTTTTCTGTTAATGCCCATTTCTTTCATTCTCCCATGACAACAAGACTTTGAATCTTTCCCATTTATCTTAAGAGGCACTTGAAGGTATTCAGTTTCCATTCTTGGAGGTCAATGAAAAAACTTGACCGATCCATGTTTTGTTCTCTGTAAATGCACAAATGGAATTCTCTAGGTACAAGCTGAGTGTTTTTTAGAGGTGAAATATTATAACTTATACCATAAATTGTGTGTATAAAAGATAAAGCCAGAAATCGTTTAGATCTTAACAAGATCAGAAGTCTGTATGTCAGAGTAGAAGCTGAAAAATGGCACTTGGTATTATGTGGAAGCAGGCTTAGGTCAGGAGGATTGTACAAGGCACTACCTGATTTGCTGCCACTGAATAGGGCAGAGACCATGGTGACCAAGGATGTGGAAAACCTGAATTGCTCAGTCTTTTTTTTTTTTTTAACCTCCACTTTTGCTGGTGAGGGCTGCCTTCAGCAGTCCCAAGTCACTGCTACCAGAGTTTGAAAGAAGGAAAACTAACTTTTGTGGAGGATGATCAGGTTAGGGAATACTTAGACTGAACATACAGAAGTCCATGGGACCTGATGAGTTGCTGTCTTGGGGTGACTTTATGATGCTTGTAACCCCGAATCGTCTGTTCTGTTTGGGTTGATTATTGAGTTCTGCAGCTTCAAGACTGGTTCCAGGAGTGAAGCAGGGAGAGAAGTGCAGAATTTGTTATCAGAGACTGCACCTGCTCCCCCACATCCTTCTCACAGACTGTGTTGTCTGCAGTGGACAGCGGGAGAGAGCTCTCCTTTGCTTTTGGTTGGTTTTTCTAACTAGCTGAGGCAGAGACGCTCCCTGGACTGTTTTTTGTTTTGTTTTGTTTTGTTTTTTCCCTCCCTTTTTCTTGGAACTGTTTGAACCTGCTCTGGACTGAAAACCCAGAAGAGCACCGGGAGCTCACACCTGTGGCCCACCAGGCCTGGCCTGGGCCGCGGCATTTCCCAGCGCCTGAGGGACTGAGAACAGCCTGAGTGAGCCGGGCAACCCACGGAAAGAACTCTTCTAAATCTGCCATCTCTTCGGAACGGCGAGAGGTTTTGTTGTTTAGTACTGTTCATTTTTGTGCTGGGGAGTGTTTTGCATGTTAAATAAACAGTTTTTTTCCTCACTTCTCTCTGAGGAAATATTTTTCCTGAACCAGTTGAGGGAGGCACTGCTTGAATCTTTTTCCTAGAGGGACCCTATTCAGAGGTTTCCTCCCAAATTTGCCCTAAACCAGGACAGTTGCACATAAAGGTGCTGAGAGAGCTGGCTGATATCTCTCTTTAGGACAGTCGGTTGTCTTTGAAAGGTCATGATGGTCAGAGGGTGTTCCTGAGGACTACAACA